TCAATCTCCATCAACATCTTCACCAGCACCATCTCCTCTCAAAACCCTAGTTCATCTCTTGTATCCAATCTTGTATCAAAACCACAAATTGGTACCTATGGGTTGCTAGTAGTGTTGATTACTCCTTGTAGTTGATGCTAATTGGTTTACTTGGTGGAAGATCATATGTTCAGATCCTTAATGCATATTAATACTCCTTTGATTATGAACATGAATATGCTTTGTGAGTAGTTACGTTGGTTCCTGAGGACATGGGTGAAGTCTTGCTATTAGTAGTCATGTGAATTTGGTATTCGTTCGATATTTTGATGAGATGTACGTTGTCTCTCCTCTAGTGGTGTTATGTGAACGTCGAGTACATGACACTTCACCATTATTTGGGCCTAGAGGAAGGCATTGGAAAGTAATAAGTAGATGATGGGTTGCTAGAGTGACAGAAGCTTAAACCCTAGTTTATGCGTTGCTTCGTAAGGGGCTGATTTGGATCCATATGTTTCATGATATGGTTAGGTTTACCTTAATACTTCTTTTGTAGTTGTGGATGCTTGAAATGGGGGTTAATCATAGGTGGGATGCTCGTCCAAGTAAGGGCAGTACCCAAGCACTGGTCCACCCACATATCAAATTATCAAAGTACCGAACGTGAATCATATGAGCGTGATGAAAACTAGCTTCACGATAATTCCCATGTGTCCTCGGGAGCGCTTTTCTCATTATATGAAATTGTCCAGGCTTGTCCTTTGCTACAAAAAGGATTGGGCCACCTTGCTGCACTTTATTTACTTTTATTGCTTGTTACTCGTTACAAATTATCTTATCACAAAACTATCTGTTACCTACAATTTTAGTGCTCTCAGAGAATACTTTACTAAAAACCGCTTGTCATTTCCTTCTGCTCCTCGTTGGGTTCGACACTCTTACTTATCGAAAGGACTATGATAGATCCCCTATACTTGAGGGTCATCAGTGATCTCCTTGCCCTTACAAATTTCTTTGTTCAACTTCACATCACGACGGAGGCTCCCAAGCGACACATAACCAATCTAGGAGACACCACTCTCCAAAAGGTAATAGACGATGTGTTGATGATGAACTCCTTGTTCTTGTGCTTCCAATGATACTCTTCCCAACACTTAACTCACTCTCACATATTTGGCTATGGTGGAAGAAGGATTTGAGTGGAAAGCAACTTGGGGAAGGCTAGAAATCAAGGTTCAAATGGTAGGAATGGAGTATCTTGATTTCAATAGATGAGTAGGTGGTTCTCTCTCAGAAAATGAATGGTGGAAGTGTAGGCACGTTCTGATGGCTCTCTTCAATGAGAAGAAGGGGGTGGAGGGGTATATATAGCATCCACACAAAATCCAACCGTTACACACTTTTGACTCATCTCGGTGGCACCGATTAGTTAAACTCGGTGGCACCAATCTGTTCAAAAATATGAACGTTGAGAATCTCGGTGGGACCGAGTGGAATAACTCGGTGGGACCGATGTGCTAGGGCTTGGGGCAAATCTCACCTCAGTGACACCGATGGAATCAACTTGATGAGACCGAAGTGAAGCAATAAGGCAACAGAGAGTTGGCAAGCCATCTCGGTGAGACCGATTGCAATTCTCGGTGAGACCGAAATAATTGTAACAAGTAACAGAGAGTTGGCAAGGCCATCTCGATGAGAGCGAGATTCGTATCGGTGTGACCGAACTGTTAGGGTTTTGGCTGTGGCTATGTCAGAATGAACTCGGTGGCTCCGGATGGAAGATATGGTGGGGCCGAGTTGGAGTTAGGGTTTTGACATATTTGGGTAGAGAAAGTGGCTGAGGGTTTTGGAGCAGTATCACTAAGCACTTTGATCAAATAGACCATTATGCAACACCTCATCCCCTTTTAATAGTATTGGCTTTCCTATGGACTTAATGTGATCTTGGATCACTTAAACAAAGATAAAGAGTTTTGAACTTTTACCAATCCTTGTCCTTAGCATTTTGAGGGGTCCACATCTCTATGTCATGCCATGCCAATCATTGAACATCCTGAAATGTCTATCTTGAATGGACATTAGTTCAATGAGATATATGTTGTTATGAATTACCAAAACCACCCGGAGATTAGTTGCACTTTCACAAAGCGACCATAATACAATATGATAGAATGGTATCTCGCTAGCTCTTTCTAAAAATACTGAACACCTCTCTAGTTGAAGTAGTGACCAAGAACACCTCTCTAGTTGAAGTAGTGACCAAACAATCATTTCGTTGAGGTTTGGGAAAAAACTATGTGCCGAAAAGACTATTGTTGGAAGCATTTTTGGAGCATCGATTTTGTTATTTTTGCCAGACCTGCACTAATGTTATTTCATCACAAAACTTTGCAGCAGTTAAAACACTCATCAATATTTATCACAAAAAATTTTAATATTTTGAATTTGTTTACCATTTCTTTTTTAGATTTTACTGTTCTATCGGTGAGCACGTGAGCTCAGAATCAAAAGAGCACTTTCAGATTTGTTCACTCGTTTCGGTTTGTATGTAGTTCATATTGAAATATCCAAAACATCTTATATTTGTGAACCTAGGGAGTACCAGTGAATGAATAAAAGGAGATTGTGTTGTCAAAAAAGTAGAGGCATATAACAATAACAAACTTATAGAACCTTCCACATCGTCAGGGCAGCTCGTTAAATGAGCCATACAGTACCATGAGCCATAGTATCAGTACATATTGTCCAGGTGGAAAAGGAAATTACCATGGACACAAGTAGCAAAACATATCGAGTTGTTCACAGGCAAACGGAGCCCATTACATGATAACCAGTCATGACACGCAACAAACTTCACTTGGCTCGGAGCTTCTTACAATGCAAGAGGAACGCCCACCCTGCTAAACTATGTTGCATCCGGATGGAGCAGAAGCCGTTGAGGTTGACGCTGCTTCTGTCACGGCATCTCCAGTACTCAACCCTGATAAACCTTCAACCAAAGCTTCAGTCACGCCATCTCCAGCACTCAACCCTGATGAACCTTCAACCAAAGCTAAGAGATGTTAGGCAAAATACTGGATACATGTAATGTATTTGAACAAAACACGCTAGTTTCCAGTTATGGAAATACTAGTAGAAAGTGTAATCCGATACAACAGAACTTGGTGCTATATAAGAGTGACACTGTCTCAAGAACTAATAATAATAATAATTCAAATATACCAATCAGTGGAGACGAACAGATTGCCTGATAATTCAAACTTTTTTAGGGAAACATTTAAACAACTTGACATAATGCGAGGAAAATGAATTTCAAAATGTCAGTGTTTTGCCCAAAAGAAGAATAAAATCATCAACTGCTTCCTATTAATTAATCTCCTCCTCACTAGAATTTAATTATCTTTATATAATGTACGTACATGCTTTCCTATCACTCTAATCTAGTCTTAAACCCCTAGTTTCATAGCTTGTACTTAGCTTACAGATAAGCATTAACAAGGTACCATGTATATATAGGCAATAGCAGTAGCAGATAACAATTGCCAATAATGAAATAAGATGCACGCATTCAGTTTCAGCTTTGGATCAAAATACCAACAGCGGAGAGTAGGATGGTTTATACAAAGATTCATCAAGAAACAAACTGATTATATCCAGTAAATAAACTACTCCCTCCGTTCCTAAATAATTGTCTTTCTAGATATTTCAACAAGTGACTACATACGGAGCAAAATGAGTGAATCTACACTCTAAAACATGTCTACATCGTATGTTGTAGTCCATTTGAGATGACTAGAAAGACAATTATTTGGGAACGGAGGGAGTAGCTATCTGTGAACAGGCCAAAAGGGTATGGTTAAGAGTTGAGTTGGATATATTTTTAACAAAATCACCCTCATCCTAACTCTCATGAGTCACAAAATGTTAGTGCATGCCCCTGTATGCCTAACTACTGCCCATATGCTAACACTCAAAACCAATATAATGGCACTTGGCTTCCAAAATAGGTGAAGTACTGATACATGTACTGTTAGTCTGTTACTGAAGTGAAGAGTATTCATGAGAATATGCCTTTTCTCAGGAAACTCAAATTGGGTAGTAATTCAAGGTGTCGTGTTTCTAAAGAAATGTTCATGAGAATATGTCTTTCTCAAGAAATTCAAATTGGGCAATCCAAATCCAAAGTGTTGTGATACCACTACAATCAAAAGAAAAGGTCTCATAGGCAATGAAAAGTGTCCCTCATGGATCTCCTGGTGACAGTTTACCAAGTGGCAATGAAGGCAATTTCCGGGTGAGCTGACTCCACTACCTAGGTCTATCTTAACGTAGATTGGTAAACACAACTGCTGGTAGTTTATTCTAAAGGCAAATTCATTACAACTATAATAGTAGTAGTAGTACTTGAAAAAATTTGGATAAAGATGCAAAACAAATAAGGTGGCAGCAAATGATAAGATAACACTTATAGAATCATGCATCCTATGTACACCATAGATTTAAATAGCAGGATATGGCAAATAGCGCTAAAAGCATTAGCACACTAAATTGGAGCTATGGCGTGCTAAATGGTGCTAAATGGCGCTAAACAGCTTATCGTGATGCCCCTCCAAATCCTATAGCGTCGTGATTACGCCCTATTTAAAACTATGATGGATATACACACTGCTCATGACCTGATACTAGATAATGAAGCGGCAAATGAATTATGCAGGAATGAAATAACATACAAAGATAATACAAGAACCATGACATTAAGCTAGCTAATGCCTCTAATGGTACCACACAGTCACACACACATCACACATTAGAACAAGTAGCTAAATTAGCCATTCAATCCACATGCACATGGCCCTGTAAACTAGATATATGATTCACACTTCTATTCCTAACTCACACTAAAGTGTCAGCAAATACGTCAATTAAGCCTCGTGGGAAATTTCAGCAAAATAAATGAAGTTAGTCGCATTGGAAATAAATGAGGAATAAATAGATGGCTTGTAGGAAACATCCACATACTACTAGCTCAACGGTGTATGGTAAGCTCTAAGCAGTAGACCAATCCACACTCTAGAGCGGTCGAACCTAATGTAAGCTTGTTTGTTATGCATAATGGCATACGCACATGCCACATGATCATGTTCTGTAACAGAGGGCATAACATCCAGTAGAAGAGTAAGACAATAATTGACAGAGAGTGCTAGCGCGGGGAAGAGTTCCATGCAAGCTAGTAGGAGATAAATCACCTGCGGAGAACATGGGAGGAAGCTCAAATGGGAAAACAAGCCCGGAAGAGTAGCTGCCTTTCTTCTGCGACTTGGCCGGGTCCAAGGGTTCGCACTCCACGACCTCCCTCGCGCGCATGTCGACGCCGAAGAGGCGCTGTTCCAGGAAGAAGTAAACCACGTCTGGATTGTCGGGGTGGACGAGAGCGAGTACGGGAGCCTTGTTCGGCAGCCCCGCCGCCTTGTACGAGTCACCGGCCCAGATCTCAGAAAAGCTCGCCTCGTACTCAAACGTCCACTCTGCGGTACTCGGATCAGCCAGCGTGCGCATGGAAACCTTGGGGGCGCCGTGGCTTGCACAGCTCATCTCGACGCACCGGAAGACGCCGTTGCTGACCTGCACGATGCGGCGGGAGCCGAGCTCTCTCTCGGCGCAGTAGCCTTAACCATGGCCGTGCTGAACGTCCCCAGCCGGGAGCTGGACATACTCCATGGCCGGCTCCTCGGCAAAGGGATCGCAAGCGAGAAGGCCCGCCACGCAATCCACCCACCAGAGCTTGCCGCCGTGGGAGACGATGTCGGAGAAGGTCCACATCCAACGCGGCAGGGGGTTGGCGACCTTCTTCCTGGCCCACTTGCCGCTCTCGGAGGAGAAGCAGAGGAGGGTGGCTTCGCGGCCGCCGACGATGGTCTGGAACTCGACCACCATGAATCGGCCGCCGCCTCCTGGCGCGGCGATGACGCCGAGGTCGTTGTTGAAGATGAGCTCGCGGGGGTCGGGGACGGGCGAGGCGGTGGCGGTGGCGGTGGCGGAGGAGAGGTCGCAGACGACGTAGCGCGGGCTGGGGACACGGCCGATGCGGATGGTGCGCTCGACGCCTCTGGCGTCACGACTGGTGCGCAGCTCCCCTTCGTCCCTCTCGGAGAGGGGCGGCGGGGTGAGGATGAGGAGGAGGCCGGAGGGGTCGGCGGCGAGGACGCAGGGGAACTTGTGCCTGCAGGGGGGGTCCGGCTCGACGGGGCAGGCGGCCGGGCGCAGCTTGACGGTGGTGACCCGCGGCGGCGCGGCGAGCGCGAGGGAGAGCGCGGCGCCCTGCGGGAGGCCGTCGTCGCCGGCGGCGGGCGCGGTCGCCTTCCGGCTCAGGATGATCCACGACGGAGACGCCATCGGCTCGGAGGGAGAGCGGAGGAACTTGGTTGGGTGGGAATGGGGACCGCGGGCTGGAACCGGCTCCTCTACCGTGCAGTGAGCACGGCAGGGATGCTACAGTGCCCTGCCTTTGGGCATCTATCAGCTGTTAGATGCAGTATAAAGGGCTCAGATCTATTTGCTACAGTGCGCAAACAGTGCAAATGCTACAGAACCGAAACAGTACATTCCGCTACAGTATGCAGACAGTATTTTTGGCTACGGTTCACCCTGCCGTGCCTTCTGTATTTACACTCTTCCGGGGTACTGTAGCATCCCTACCGTGCCCGCTGCACGGTAGAGGAGCCGGTTCCCCGGGGGCTAGGGTTTAGGGGTTTGGTTGTTGAAGTACTAGTACTACGAGTTTGAACTCTGTCGGGTTGCGGAGACCGCGGGGTGGCGAGTTGAGCCGCGCCAGGAGGAAGAGAGCGAAGCACGCGAGGAGGAGTTGTACCGGGCGTCGCTTGAGGTGTACGCTAGCTATCTTTTGCGTGCGGAATCTTTTCGCAGTTGGGGTTGCAGAGCTACCGCGGAGAAGCAGCGGAAGTGCAGGGCGGTGACAGGCAGGCAGGCAGCCTTTGAACGGCCCGGGCATACCGCCGTGCTGGGCTGCTCTGCTGCCCACGTTTGTGTACCTGCTGTGCCGGCCATTTCTCGATAGGAACATTGTGCGGCTAAAATCGTGTTTTGACCCTTTTGACGATGTTTATCAGGATCTGACCTCGGTTTGAATTTTTTTCGAGATTTGACCATTTTTACTACCGCCGCAAACCCCGGCGGTAGCTGTACACAATCTATCGTCGCCCTTTATGGCGGTAGGTGCCCTTGACGGCCGTCTGGACGTTAACGGCCACTGAAGTGGCAAATGGACCTACCGCCACCGATCCTGGCGGTAGGCTCTAACAACCTAGCGCTGGGACCTCTGGCGGTAGGGTCCTGGAGGATAAGGTTTGTGGGCCCACTCACCACCCACCCATTTCACTCATCTTCTTCCCCTCGATCTCAAGCTCTTTCCTCCTCTTCTCCCCCACCAAAGCACCCACTAGATCTCCCTTCATTGCTTGAGATTTGTCCGGTGGATTGGGGGCATTTGCATCACCCAAGGTATCTCTCCCATCCTCCTTCATTTGGTTGGTTGAAATCAGGTAGTGTTGTTAGAATGAACTAGTGTTGCAAACCCTGGCTCTAGTTTTGCATTTATGGTGCATTTACGGTGCATTTATGGTTTGCCTAAGTATTTTGTGTGAATCCTTGTTGTGGCAAGCTAGGTTAAGTGTTAGGTTTAGTGGTTTTGTTATGGAAGGGTTAGGTTATGGTTATGGTTAATGCTATGATTAAGATATACTAGTTGTTTGATTCAAAGTATGATGGATATACTAGTTGTTTGATTCAAAGTATTTTAGATAGTTCATCCATATGAAATGGCCAGTCCATGGATGACTCAATTTTTTCCCATTGTTTTTAGATGGATAAACTAGTAAATGTGCATTATTTGGACAATGCGGCTTTCATGAATGGAAAATGCGATGAAGGGAGGAGGCCATGGTTTTTGACACAAGTCCAAGCTATGATGATATTATCGTGAAAGTGCAAAGCGTTCTCAATTGGATTAACCCAAGTGATGGTGTGAAGCTTATTGGGAGGTATGATGTGGGAGTGGGAGTAAAGTGCCGATTAAAGAGTATGCCCATCACCTCTCAATTGCATTGGGATGTGTATAAGGATAAAGTTGAGGGATCACAAGACAAGTCACTTGAGTTATTTGCCACAAAGGTTGAAGTTCCTCGACTACTACTCGACTTGAACCGGAATGTGTCTCTCCAATACATGATGGTGTTGTGGTGTATGACCGCAATGCGGGTAGCCAACCACCAAGTAGTCAACCAAATGAAGACGACATCAATGTTAGACTCGCCGTTCTTCTAAGTGATGATCATGTTGGAGATGAGGCCATTGCTCATGTTGATGAACATGCAATTGTTCATGTTGACGAAGATGCCATTGCTCATGTGGATGAAGATGCTATTGCTCAAGATGATGTGTACGCGGAACGAGAAGAGATTCATTACAATCCCATTGGTGACTTGGATGTCATTGTGCATCAACAAGACATGGACCGTAACCTCCCTTATAGCCGTATGTGTAGGTATGAGTCGGGTGATGAGGGTCCACCGGAAGAATTGGATGAGGATGGATTCACGCCACAAGAAAATCAAGTCTACAAGAAGGTGAATGGCAAGGAAAAGGGACCCTCTTTATTTCGTGATCTTAGTCTTGCCGACAAGGCCGTTGTTGATGGTGGCATGAGGTTGTGCTTGCTCGAACCATCAACTTGCCCAAGGATGGGTGATCTAAGGCCACCGGGTGAGGATGAGAATGCTCATTTGAAGAAAGGGATCAAGTTTGGTTGTTTGCAAGAGTTCAAGATATGGTTGAGTGACTACGCCATTCGGAACCATAGGTCCTTCGTTGTTGGTCATTCCAACCAAAACGTGCGCTACACCATCAAGTATGACAAAGAATGTTGCCCATGGAAGGTCCGTGGAAGAAAGATCAACGAAACCGGGCAATGGGAGTTGAAGAGTTGTGTGGCCACCCACGAGTGCATACCGCCGGAGAAAGCGGGCCGAAGCAAGGGACACCGCCAACTCACGTCCGAGTATCTAGGCTACAAATTGTTGAATGAGATATCCCATGATCCAACCATGAAGGTGAAGTTCCTCATGAGTTCGATCTTCGAACGATTCAGATACGAGGTCAAGTATGGAAAGGTATGGATGGCTAAGGCAAACGCTATAAGGATGTTGCATGGTGATTATGTCGCCGCGTACAATATTCTTCTGAGAATGTTGGGAGCCATTGCTCATCGGAACCCGGGCATGCGCCATAGGGTCGAGTCAATTGAGGGAGTGTTTCATCGAGCTTTTTGGAGCTTTGGGCAATGCATCGATGCATTTAGGCATTGCCGCCCCGTCTTGTCAATTGATGGCATGTTCTTGACCGGCAAGTACAGGGGCACGTTGATGGTGGCAATGGCCCACTCGTCCAATGACAATGTGTTGTCAGTTGCGTTTGCGTTGGTGCCTTCCGAGCACGATGATAATTGGGAGCGGTTTATGGATCATGTGAGGACGAAGGTGATTGGCCCGAAAAGGGAGGTGTGCATCATATCGGATCGCCATCATGGGATTCTCAAAGTAATAGAAGTTGACATTCCAGGCTATCCAAAGCTCCAACACCGTTGGTGCATGAGGCATTTCATGGCAAACTTTTACCGAGCATGCAAGAGTAAGGAGTTTTGCAAGGATCTTATCCATGTTTGTGTGGCATTCAACACCGACACATTCCAAAGCCGCTGTGATAAACTATTCAAGGCGTTGGAGAAGAACAAAGGAGGGAGAGAGTTCTTGACAAGGCATCTTCCAGAGAAGCATAAGTGGTCACGTGCTTACGACGAAGGAGGTCTTTGATACGGAGACATGACAAGTAACATGGTGGAATGCTTCAACAATGTGCTCAAGGGTGTCCATTCCTTGCCGGTGACTACAATAGTGAAATATACTTTCTTCAAGCTGAACGAGTATTTTCTGAGGCATTCCGAAGTCACCACCAAATGGATAGGTGAAAAAATGGAATATCCTTTCAAAGTTGAGGATTGGTTGAAGCATCAAGCGTGCAAGTCCTCACGTCAACAAATTATTACTTTCAATGAAAAAGAACAAATCTGCCAAGTCGATGAGCCGGGTGGCACAACAAGGGACGACTTGACATATGGTGGAGTTGTGTATGAGGTGCGCCTCAAGACCCAGTGGTGTCGGTGTGAGAGACCTCACAAGTATCATTGGCCTTGCTCGCATGTGATGACCACCGCAAGGTTCAGAAACTTGAATGCATCTGATGGTACCACCGTGCGGTTGCATGAGTTCACATTGGAACAAACGAGGTTGACGTGGGCTCCTAGGTTACATCCCTTCCTCGATCAGTCGAAGTGGCCTGAGTATGATGGGCCACACTTCGTCCCCGACCCCGAACTCATGGTGCCTACAAAGGGAAGAAGAAGAAAGAAGAGGTTTAGAGGTGACATGGATGATCTAGCAGGATACACCGAAATGAAACAATTTGGTAGCGGCCATTTCATGGAAGCACCGGACATCAATAGTTGTGGTCAATGTGAAGAACCGGGACACGATGTTAGGAAATGCACCAAAAAGCCATAGACTGATGCCAACACTCTAGATCCCACTAGTCAGACGGGTGGCCGAAGAGGAGGTTCCGGTGGCACACGAGGAGGTAGGAGTGTTGGCCGTGGAGGACGAGGAGGCAGTATTGGTGTGCGTGGAGGACGGATGAATCTTAGCGGTAGTGGACGAGGAGGCAATATTGGAGGGCGTGGAGGACGGAAGAGTCTTAGAGGAGCCGCTGGCCGTGGTCGTAGGACGAGAAGGGTTGATAGAGAAGATCTATTGACATTTTTCTTAACCCGGATGGTTGAAATAATATGGGATGGTAATTAAATTGATTGGCTTCATTCGGTCTTGTTTTTTTGTTTTTCTTGCATATATACATGTTTATTTACTAACAACCAAATTTTTCTTCATAAGCATGGCTTGTTTCGGTTCCATGACGAGGCTCCCGTGTGCTAACCGCGGGGACGTGCTGGACAAGTGGACAGACGCTGAGTTGGATAAGGTGAAGGACAAAGATATGAGAACTCCATCATGCTGGTGTGGAGACGTTTGGAAATTTAAGGTATCCACCGACCGCAAGAAATCGTGGACAGAAGGAAGAAGATATTTTGTTTGTCCGAACTATGCCTATGATCGTCCTCGTCCAACTCATGCCTATGATGTACAAGCGGTAAGTTTTTAAAGTTCAAAGAGTATTCAATTGTTGCTTCAACTTGAACCTATCTTACTAATGATGAAATTTGTTCTTTATTCCTACGTAGTCGCCGCCTCCACTTTGTAAGTACTTCACAT